ATATTGTATGGACTCCCCAAGTACGAGCTGGACAAATTGCAACAAGTCCAGAATGCAGCAGCCCGGCTAATTACAGGGAAAAAGAAATCTGATCATATAACACCCGTACTGAAAGAATTACATTGGTTACCGATTAAATATCGAATAAATTTTAAAATAATTCTCCTAGTTTACAAGTCACCACATAACCTAGCTCCAGATTATCTTCAAAAAATGATTGAAGAAAGATGTCCTACACGTACACTTCGATCCTCCCGATGTTCACTGCTTTCCACTCCACAGATATACACCACGACATATGGAAAGCGTGCTTTTTCTCATGCTGCCCCGGAACTTTGGAACTCTTTGCCAGAATACATTAAATCCGCTGAGTCTATTTTAGAATTTAAATCTTTTTTGAAGACTTATTTGTTTAAAGTGCCTATAAACCCAAAATGGGTTTTTGATGATTCGGATAGAGCATAAAAAGTTACAATAGAAGTTCTAGATTAGAATTTGATTTAAACTTCTAGTTTCTGAGATACAACGGCTCAAAGTGCCAGATTCTGTCATTTTTGAAAAAAAAGTCGCGCAGTCAAAATTCACTGTAAAAGCCTGGGTCGGAGGAACACGTTCTTCGCCGTTCATTAGCTTTTGTATTACAAGTAGACGCAACTTCGAGAGTTTTTGCCTTAATATGCCTAAACGGTGTGTCGTTTACGGTTGTTCCAACGTTGCTGACACAAACAAGGGTATTTCTATCTACCAAATACCTTTTTGGGATGATAATTTGCCCGTAGCGGTCAGGAGAAGGAAAATATGGCTGAGCTTTGTTAGACGCAGACGGGATAAATGGATCCCAACTAGCTCGTCGGTTGTGTGCTCAAAGCATTTCACTGAGGATTGTTTTGTTTACGGTTCCGAAAGTGTGGAAAAGTACAACACTCCGAGACTTAAGAGAGATGAACATGGGATTTGTGTCTTTCCTACAGTAGATACAAATCAACTTTCTGGCAGTGCGGAATCAGAGCGTACAAGTCGCATGAAGCGAAGGAAGGTATTGTAATATAAGCTGAATACTTTATGTTTATTCACCCGTAACTAGCATCATTCGCGCGTTTATTTACATATATTTGAATATTTGATTTGTGAATCCAACTTTTTCCTGTTATAAACTGATAACGTATTTGCATAAAGATTAAACGCTCTTATGAAGTTATGTCGTGTAAACAGAGTCAGTATATTATGGTTTTAATTAATACTGTACGTTGTTGTATCACACATGGGCCAACGAAATTTATTAGTAATTTTATTATACCCTTTTATTATACCCTGTGGCTGTGACTACTTGATGTTTCAATTTAAAAGTAGTCAGGAAAAAAAGTTAAACACAATTCAAGTGAAGTTATTAAGGCAAATAAAAAGGCCCAACACGGCCAGGTCAAGTACTGTAGTCACTCTGTACAAGTACTGCCGGTCAAGTACTGTAGTCACTCTGTTTATTACTGTATAAGACTAATCTTTTGGTTTTAACTTGATACGACAACAGGAACTTGTTGGAAACTCTGATGAAACACTGACAACATCAACTGCTGATGAGCCAGATGTTGAACCTTGCACATCTACAGAACAAGGAGAAATGGTATGGTTGTTGGTGTGGTCTCATTTTTTTATACAGTATGCAGTCACTTCGCCAAACAAAGTTTCAATAGTGCTATGTGCTGTTGTTATGACTATCCACTTTTAGAGCCATAAGCTATTATAGCTTTGGTTTGGTAGTAAATGAGTTTATATGAGAGTAAATAAATATAAAACATTTTCTGTGTTTGAGTTTACCCAATTTGCCACTTGTGTTGATATAACTGTAATATTATATCAATACAGAAAAAAATGTTATATATGTTTTAGAATATAGCACAAAGAATATAGCACAAAGAATATGCAGGAAATTTTTGTGGGAAATTTTCCGTGTTTGCCATTGAGTTGTGTCAACACGCCTCTTAGCCAATCAGCGTTCAGAATTTACAAGTGATATATTCTAAACATGTATTCTATTCTTGTGCAAATTCTACACATTATACATCAGAACATTAACATTTAACCATTAATATGTCTTTACTTCATCCATAGATCACAGAAACTGTTGCAGTTGACGAATGTGACAACTGCAAGCTGCTTAAAAAGGAAAACTTAAGAATCCGCAGTTGGTGGCATACATCCAAGCGGAAACTTGATGCTGTCAGAGAAGAGCTAAGAATTCTCAAGGGGATGACTGGTAAAGATATTATCAAAATCTTTAAAACCCTATTACATTTCTACATTTTACTTACACTCTTAGACTGAAATTGTTTGGACAGGTTCATAAAAACGTAGCTGTATGCATTTATCCATGCATTTTACTTGGTACATGTAAAAAACTTCCACAAAAAAAATTTTATGCTATAACAGTGAAAATATAATATTTCAATCTTACATGCCAATAGCTTTTCCATATCGTTTCATTGTAAAAGTGAGCTGTAATGTGCTTGTTCGGGTAGTTCTGTCAATAATTGTAGTTTTATATTGGAATTAGCATGGATATTAATGAATTAAAATCAATAAATTTATTATTGCAACAGGTGAGAGCAGCAGGGAGGATATTCATGGTGGTAATGAGGGCGATGTTGAAAGCGATGTTGAAAGCGATGTTGAAGAAGTTGAGTGTGAGAGTGAAGAATTGTCTGATGATGTCGGTGAGATGGAAACTGAGACGGAAACCTCAGACACTGAAACCGATGAAGACACAAGTGTGCCGCCACAAAGGCAAGGAATAAATTAACTTTTTTAGTTATATATTCTGCTTAATCAATAGCTATTTTCATGGATGGATAGCTTTTCTGGGGGGTGCACACCCCCAAAATATTTTGCACCTCCCCCAAAAAGTTTTCCCGACCCACATTTTAAACTAAGTAAGACATAGAATTTGAACTAAATATGACCAAAAACCAGGGTTTTTGAACTAAATAAGACCAAAAATCTCATAGGGTCTTCAATCCTTACCCCCATTACCAGCCTTTGCCCCTTTATCCTTACAGCTCGTTTGGCGATGTTATGCGACCCCTCTCTCATATCCCCCTACATTTTCTGCATCCATCACTGTTCTCATGTACATAATTACAGTATAAGAATGCAATAAAATATTTATTACAATATTTTAGAATATTGGTCTATATGCATTTCCTTTGATATTTCAGGGTTTACAATGAGGAATACAATCAAAGAACTGAACCAAAGTTTATTGTATTCTTCTCTCAGCTCCTGGCCCTTTTTCAAATTTGTCGTTTGTGCAAGTGTGAAAAAACCCTTGTTGAAGTGAATGCACATGGAACAATGGCAGAGGTGGTAACAGTGTGTGTCAACTCTCAATGTGGAAAGCGCACAACATGGTTCAGTCAACCCAACTTTCATGGAACCAAAATTGCAGCTGGTAACTTTCTTCTAAGCTATGGAATCATTTTGGCTGGAACCTCTGCAACCAAGGTGTTCAGAGCATTGAAACATATGGGGATGACCTGCATATCGTTGACAACTTTCTTTAAATATCAACGGGTAAGTTTTCAAGCGATGTTCTCTTTTAAAGTGACTAATGTCACTAAGTGTACTGTATCACTGTGCAAAATACTTCTGTTGAATTTTTCTAAAATAATGAATGATGAAAAAGTAGAAAGTCTATTAAAAAGTTCGTAGGGAAGTGAAATAAGTTATTATATTGTACTCATTCCCCATTTTATCTTGTATTTTACATAGGAAAAATTAATTCCATCAATATATTTACATTGGAAGAAGTACCAAGCAGAGCTTCTCGATGAATTAAAAACAAAGGAAGAATTGGTGATTGCTGGAGATGATAGTATGGGACACAGTGCCAAATACTGTGCATACACTGTATTTTGTTGCACTGTCCCATACATAATTCATTTTGCTTTAATACAGGTATGAAAACGTTTTACATCAACATTTCATTGTACAGTTTTAAGAAGAGTTGTCCTATGTAAACCAAATGGCCTCAAGTATGAAGAATCTGTTATAGAGCTGTTAAAATGCTATGCTAATGGCACTTATATTTTTACTTTACTAGAGGAATGAAGTGGGCAGTAGTCCAGCCATGGAATATGAAGGATTTTGCAGAAGCATGGAGTACTTGCTAAGTTTAGTGGCAGTGAAGACATTTGTATCTGATCGACACTCGTCAATCACAAAGCATATGAGGGAAAAGCTGTCAGACATCATTCACTACTTTGATATTTGGCATATAAAGAAAAGTATGACCTTGAACTTTCTGCCTTCTGTAATTAATTGCATACACTATTTACTGTATGTTATTGTATGCAAATAAATATAGTGGTGCATGGTGAGAAGGGGGTTCAAACTAGACTTATTTGACTGTCAAAGCTATGATGTTTTTCATATTGTAGAGGTGACAAAGGTTCTCACCAAAATTGCCAAAATCAGTGGATGTGAAGCAACTGCAGAGTGGATAAAGCCTTGCACAAGCCACTTGTTCTGGAGTGCGCGAACAACCCATGATGGAAATGGTGAAGTGATTTGGGCCAAGTTTTCCTCCTTCCTAAGTCATATTGTTGATGAACATAAAAATCTGGAAAATCCTTTGTCCAATAAATGTGCACATATGGATATAATTCAGCCACGAAAATGGCTAGACAAAGGTATTATATTTTTATAAGAATGCAATATATATATTTATTATATAAACATAAGTGTTATATAGAGTTTTTGGCCACTGAGAAAAATCGTATTTAAACGCACGTAAAAATAAAACGCATTGTCACAGCACAGACGTTTTATTGTTTTTCACTGAATTTTGTTTATATAATAAACAGAGGAGTACATGGGTGCTTGGAAATACTAGATTTATTTCTCGTGTTGAACATGTTCATCATGTTCAACACTCGAAATAAATATGGTATTTCCGTGCACCCATGTATTATTCTCTCTCTCTATATATATATATGTGAAACATACCATCAATAC